ATTCCTTTAGGAAGCATTTTACGCATAATTGTCACAGTGTCATCCAGTCAGGTTTATCAGCTGACGATGATCACATCTGTACAGGAAATACATTTTACGAATAACAACATCCAGGATGGCAGCCACCAAGGTGGTGGAAATAATTTAAGTGGACACAGTATAATATCTGCCCTGAGGTTCAAACACTCTTGTGAGCATTTGATAGCCCAGCCTCTGGCAAAGATATTCAAGAACTCGTGGTGCTCAGGTGAAGTACCCAAAAATTGGAAGAAAGCCAATGTGGTGCCTATCTTCAAGAAAGGGAGGAAAGTAGATCTGGGGAATTACAGGCCAATCAACTTGACTTCCATCCCTGGAAAGACTTTGGAAAAAATTATTAAAGAAACCATTCTAGACAAGCTGGCTGATGGCAACATCCTGAGGGGCAGCCAGCATGGGTTTGTTGCAGGTTGGTCTCACCTGACCAATCTCATGTCCTTCTATGACCAGGTGATATATCACCTAGACAAGGGAGAAGAGATTGATGTCATATATCTGGACTTTAAAAAATCCTTTGACCTGGTATCTTATGATCTCCTCATGGAAAAATTGGCCAACTGTGGCCTCGGCTGCATCACGGTCTGATAGCTGGGGAATTGGTTCCTAGGTCCGACCCAGAGATTGGTAGTCAACCGAAGTGAATCATCATGGCGCTCCATGACCAGTGGTGTCCCTCAAGGCTCTGTCCTTGGACCTATACTCTTTAACGTCTTTATTAACAATGTGGACATCAATGTCAGAAGCGGACTGGCCAAGTTCGCCGATGACACCAAACTTTGGGGTAGAGTGTCCATACCTGAGGATAAGCTGGTGATCCAGGCTGACCTTGATAGGCTTAGAAAGTGGGCGGATAAAAACCTGATGACATTCAATACGGAACGATACAAGGTACTCAACCTTTAGGGGGAAAAAACCCCACATCACACTTATAGGCTCGGCACTGCTACACTTACTAGCACCACGGCTGAAAGGGACTTGGAGGTCATGACTGAACACAAGATGAACATGAGCCACCAATGAGATATCACAGCTGGTAAAGTGAACAAAACTCTGGCTTGCATCCATAGATTCATTTCTCCATATTAAATTCCATCAGGTTTTCATCCACCTTGGGGGAACGATTGGGGGTCATAGTTTCATAGTTTCATAGTTAGTAGGATTGGAAGGGACCTGAGCAGATCATCTAGTCCAACCCCCTGCCATGGCAGGAAAGAGTACTGGGGTCAAACAACCCCAGCAAGGTGATTGTCAAGCCTTGTCTTAAAGACCCCCAGGGTAGGAGCCAGCACCACTTCGCTTGGAAGTTGGTTCCAGATCCTAGCCGCCCTGACAGTGAAGTAGCGCCTCCTGATGTCTAATCTGAATTTACCCTCTGCCAGCTTGTGACCGTTATTTCTAGTCACTCCTGGCAGTGCTCGGGGGAACAGGGACTCCCCCAGTGCCTGCTGATCCCCCCTGACTAGTTTGTAACAGGCCACCAGATCCCCCCTCAGCCTTCTCTTGTGGAGGCT